CCATCGGAAAATGCTACAGTGGATGACGGCTAGAGGCTTTGGAGCCATGGGAGCTCCGGCAGCGGAGAGTCCCAAAGGGGGCACAAATGGGGGCATGATGATGCTTTTTCCGCAGCATTTGCATTTCCACTATGTCCAAGAGCAACTTGTGGACGGTTGCGGCTGGTTTGCAGTCAGCTGGAACTTTGACGGTTGTGAACTAGTGTTGATCATGGCGTATTTCAAGTGTGGAGAGGGCATCCAAGGCCCCACCAATGCAACATTGTGGGCAGGTTTGCTAGCTTTTGTCACCAGCCTCCAGAAGCAGGTGATCATCATGGGTGATTTCAATGTGGCTCCGGAGGTTTTCATGACGACCACCATGGCCCAGCACATGCAAGTGCAAATTCTTGCCACACATGAGGAAACGTGCAACACGGGAAATGAGCTGGACTGGGCGTTAGTTTCGACGCCGCTTGTTGCAGATTTGAAAGTTGAGGCAAAATGGATGGTCCCTTTCAAGCCCCACGCCATGCTACAGTTTCGGCTAGCTGGACATTTTGATGAGATTGCAGTTCAACAGTTGACCAAGTTTGGACCGGCTCCCAAACTGCAGAGCCCGGTTGTCACGTGGCACCAAGTCGACCCACAGGACACCACTGTCAAGTGGTTGGATCATGTCACTGACCCTCTGACGACACAAGCTGGCACCATTTACAATCGCATTGAACGGTATGTTTTGCAGCAACTTGAAGAACCTCATGGAGGTAGAGGGCTCACGTTGCAGTTTGTGCAAAGACCGCTCCACGATGTCAGCAAACCATGGCTGTGGAAGAGAGGTAGCATGGCTTTCTGGAATCAGCTTGAACTTCGCCTTCAGCAGTTGCTTCACCATGTGGGGAGAGAACCACACCATCAAGCGCAGCTGCAAAAATTAGGCTGGAAGATTCAAGAACATTGGCATGCGGAGGCAACTGTGTCCTTGCAAGGTTTTCAGAGTTTATTTGAAATGTTGTGGTACCAGCATGGGGATGAGCATATCCATGTCCTCCTCAACTATGCACAACAACAAAGAGAATTGCACCAAGCTGAAACCTTCCAAAGAGAGACTGAAGAGTACAGGCAATGGCTTACCACTGCATCCCAGTCAGGGTGTAGGGGCCTGTACCGCACGTTGAAGAGAGATGAGATGCCATACCTCCGGCCTTTCCAAGATCAACCTAGAGCTTTGCGGATGCCCATGCGAGTTAAGCAGTGGGGTGAAATCTGGAAGGTCCAAACACGGCAGATCCTCATTCCGTGCATGGAGCAGCTCATTAGCAAGGGCCAGGAAGAGGCAAAAACCCTGCCTTTTCTTTCTGATGGGCACATTTGGAAAACCATCAAGACGCTAGCAATCAAGGCACCTGGACTGGACGGGCTGGGTTTTGACTTTCTGCGCTCTCTTCCCAGAGAGGCAATGAAGGACCTGAGAGCCTTTTTCCAGACGGTAGAAGAGCAGTCCATGATCCCAAATCAATGGAAGGCTTCGCTGATTGCTTTGATCCCAAAGAGCACCGCCATTGAAAGACCAATTGCATTGGTAGCAACCATGTACAGGCTTTGGTGTAAACTACGAAGTGATCTCACCAAACGCTGGTCCAGCAACATCCAGTCTGAGTACCCATGGGAGAGAGCGGTCCCTGGAACTGAGTGTTTGCAAGTGGCGCTCAAAAGGTCCTTTATGACCGAACACCATGCAGCGCACAAGCGCACGGTCATCTCCGCGCTCCTGGACCTCTCAAACTTCTATGATAGGATCAGCCTGGCACAACTGGCGCAAAGATGGCTAGAGTCGAGCTACCCGGCAACACATGCTGCACTCGCAATGCAGGTCTATACTGGGCAGAGAATCCTGGAGGCGGAAGGCGAAGCCTCAGCGCCTTTGTGGGCGACTCACGGAATCCTTGCAGGAGACACACAGGCTCCATTAGCTGCAAAGGTTTATTTGCAGAGAGCTCTCAAGGCTTTTCACAAACGATTTCCGCAGCTGCATTCAGACCTCTGGATTGACGACTTCAGTTTCGATGTTGTTGACAAAGACCCGCATAATGCAGCAAGGATAGCAATCAATGCCTATGCCTGTGTGAAAGCCGAACTTGAAAAGGACAACCTGAAAGTCTCAGAGCAAAAGACCGGCTTCATTGTCTCCAATGCCACGGTCAAGAAGATCTTGGCTGAGCAACTCCCAGAGGGAGGCCCAAAGGTGCACGACGTGATGAGGGACCTCGGCATCGACTGCACAGCAGGCCGTCTTCGTCGCATCCAGACGATTAAAGCAAGACGAAGAAAAGCTGGCAGAAAGAATGTCAAGTTGAATTCCCTGAAGATCCCCAACAGAGCAATACAGTTGAAGATCTATAAGGGCAGCATTGTCTCGGGAATCAGTTGGGGACACCAGGCCATGGGTCTAGCACCACCACTCAGACGAAGGCTGAGAGCCACGATGGGTCGCCAGATGGGCTTGCAGCGTACAGGCAACTTAGATATCCTTTTCGATATGTACCCACGACATCGTGACCCGGACTATGCAGCATTCGAAGACCAGGTAAAGCTCTACCGCAAATTCCATGGCAATTGGCCGGAAGCTCTGGCCAAAGACCTCGTCAAGGCTTGGAATGTTCAGAGGGACAAACTCAAGTCGGTGCCATATCCTTGGCAGCACGCCAAGGCCCAGTTGGAGCACTGCAATGTTACCTTCTGGAACACGGCTGGTCCTTCGACAAGCAAGATGAGTGGGTCAAGCCTGGACATAACGGTGAACCTGATTTCAAGCTGAACATGAATGCTGACTGGTTTTACCTACGTCAAGAATTGGAGAGGGCACACAGATGGGAAACGGTCATGAAGATCAACAAGCGCAAGTTTTTGCACGAGGTACAACAACCCCTGGATTGGTTGCCTTGGAGGAGACTTTCCCGAACCCTGTCCAAAACACAGAATGCGGCTTTACAAACCTGGCATCAAGGGGCAATCTTCACCAAATTGCAGGACGGGCAGGCAAAGTCTCAGCTCATGTGCCCGCACTGTGGCAAGGAAGCTGACACCATACATGTCCTTTGGCAATGTTCAGAGACACGGAAAGCTTTTCCGCCTTTGGACCAAGAGGATTGGCAAGAGATTGAACAAGGGATAAACCTGGAGTTCTGGTCACAGGGCCTTCTTCAACTTCCTCGCTATGAGAATCCACAGGAGGTGCAGCCGTCCAGACATGGGGATCGTGGACAGCAAATGATGAAGTCCGACTGAGTGGCATTGATGTGGTGACAGTAGGGATAGCCCCCACTAGCGCTGACCCTCGTCTCAAACACTTCGTTGTGGCCTTGGTTCACCACACTTTAGTTGATGGAGAACTCATGAGGAAAGGTGCAGTGACCACAGTGTTGCCAGGCAAGCAGTCGACAGATCGTGCCTGGTTCTACGGGCTCAGGCTCATCGCCCACTATGTCCAATTGGACATGCAAGTGCGAGTACAGGTGCTTTCAAAGAAAGCCTGGGAGGCCTGGGCGCACGGGCGCCACTCGGATGTTTTCCTGGATCTGAACCAATTGGTGACGCATGATCAAAGAAGCCGCATTAGGCCTTTGAGTTTGAGTCACAAGCAAATCAATGAGATGCCACCAGGACCGTATACTTTGAAGTCAAGGTTCAAAGACGCTTCGAAGGTTGCCAGGGAAATTGCCTTGTCACATCGTCCAGAGCAAGAGGAGGCAGATTTGCGGTTGACTGACCAGCGCTACAACAAGATTGCTCCGCTGGCAATCTCACGAATCAAGTACCTTTTGGAGACCAAGGATCATTTCCTCCATCAGGTCAGAGAAAGTGGCCGCATCAACCGACAGAAGGCAAAAGAGAAGAAAGCGCAGCTGTTCCAAGACATTGGCCAGCAAAAGGGTGAACATGATCACCAGTGGGTGGCCAAAACCAGACGCTTACAGTGCCACTGCTGCAACAAGCGCATCACGATGCATCTCACCTATGCAGCCTTGCAGAGCATCAAGGAGGAGGAATGTCCTGCCACCACACAGTTGTCCATCAAAGGAGGTCAGGCTCCTAAAGAAAGGAGCAAAGCCGAACTCCTCAAGAGCCTTCTTGATGGAACTTACCCGGAGTTGCATGGGCATAGTTTTGTGCTGCAAACCAACTACTTGGTCTGCACTGGTTGCAATGGCCGCATTTTGCGGCATGCAGCCTCAGAGAAGATTGAAGGGCTGGCGAAGTCCAAGTGCTGGAATCAAGAGTGGATCCCTGAAGGATCATGGCAGGGTCATAAGAGTCACCAGCTGTGGCGCAAGGGGGGCCGTGTCACTTGTTCGAAGTGCAAGGCACATGCTATCCAAAAGGATGGAGCTTTTGTGGCCAGCAAAACCCTTCGACAGAGTTGTGGACACACCAGCACGCAACCGACGTTGCCAACTTTGTTCACCAGCCAAAATGGCTGAAGACCATGGCAGCAGGAAAAGACACGCAGAAAAAAAGACAGGTCTTCTTCTCCTTGCTGGACGATAGTGGTGAAAGTTACACTCCGAGTGGAACCGGAGTGTTTTCATCCACCACCTGTTTGGTCTTACATCGACAATCCAAGCCATGCCAAACAACCAGTGTTCGTTTCGTGTAGCTCAAGGAGGGGCCCGAAGGCCGGAACCGGACGAGTCCGGCGGATCGAAGCGGCGAATCCTTCGAATTGGTTGGACACCTGTGGGTCTATGGTATCTGAGGGTCACCCTGCAAACCTTGATGGATCTGAGGTTTTCTATGGAACTCTTCGAACACGGCCATGCGCCATGCGGCGGCTTCCAAAGGATGCTTCCTTTCTATACTGCAACACAAACACCTCACAGGCTGCAGTGAGAAGACCAAAGTCCTCCTAACATCCCGTCCAAAGGCCAACCAAGCATGTCCAAAAATCACTAGCCATGGCAATTTCGGGCATTCTCTGATGGGGACCCTGCTTCACTGCTTCAAAGCTCACGTGGACCCGCCTTCACGAAGCCGAAGCCTTCGGAGTTCCGCCGGCCGGGCCTGGCAACAAGGGCACGGCAAGGATACGAATTGTCAATGTATGTAACATAATTGTGTTCAAGGTATATAACTGAACTCGCAAAAGCTTTGCAAGGATTCAGGAGAAGCAAACATTGCAACAAAATGCATTGAGTCCAGCCCTTGACCCCCACTCCATGCAAAATAGAAAGTGCATCATCGGCCGCTGCAATAACCTCCCCTCTTTTCGGTGGTCGAAACCCCGTGAAGCACCAAAAAATGAGAAACAAAACACGTGGCCATCTTCGCCACATGGTGAGAAGTGAGCGCTGATGTCTCCAGAAAACCGACCCGCCTGGGGAAGTTCCAATTCGAGACAGTGCCCGTCGGCATGGAACCTCAGCCACGCGAAGGTGAGGCTTTTGGGGGAACAAACACATCACCGGGTTCCTGAGGCACTTCCGCGGTAAATAGAAGGGCAACGTCTTGCCGCTTTGCCGTTTTAGCCCGGGTCCCTCAGCTATATAGATTATATAGATATTCTTTCCAAAGGCGCGGGTAAATCGATAAAATCGAAAAAGGTCTTTTCTACCTAAATCGCGGATAAGCAAGAAGTTAACATCGATGTTTTTCCAAAACAAAATCTGTGGGAAAAACGGTAAGAAGCAGCAATGTCTTTAATTGAGCATTATGCCTGGGTCCCTCAGATAGATCTTTTACCAAAGGCGCGGTAACAACAGCAAAAATCATGCGTTTTCTGACGTGTTCAATTGATTTATACCAATCTCCGCGGTAAAGCGTGAAGAATCAAAAATTCACAAAAATGTACAAATATTGTCTTCTACCGCATTGCCCAGGTTCCTCAGCTACAAGATTTACCGAAAGGGGCGGTACAACGGTCCAAATCGGAAAAAATGCCTTTCTGTACCCGTGACCGCTCTGTGGGGGTTGCGACCGTGCAGCTAGCAGCTAACGCCCAGCAACGCTCGCGAACCGGCTCGATCCCGTTCTTTCTCACCGAAACTGAGGTCCTCACTGAAACGGCGGGGAACTGCCCCGGAACGGTGACGAAACGGCGTGTCTGCCCAGCTATGCTCTGTTCGGGTCTACGTTCGGTTCCAACGTGCTCGAGTGATAGACATACGCAAGACCCGTCTTGATCCAAAGGGAGAAAGTGCTGAAGGATGCTTTTTTGGCGTGGCAAGAGCATTTTGGCGACATCCTCAGGATGTTTAGATCTGAACAGCTTCGGGTGACATCCATCCCCTTCGCTCGTTGATCGAACCCTAGAGCCAAACAGCTACTGGAGGTGTGTTTCATGATAGAGAACATGTCAGAGTTTCAAAGGGTCCATCGTTGGTTTTGTGAGGTCCATCCTGTGCAAAGTTCGAGGTCCGAGGTCCTGTGTTCAACTGAAACTCTGACCATCCTGTGCGTGGCAGAATGTCACGGAACACTGAAAGAGACAAAGTACATCTGACGAACTCAGACTGATTTGAAAGAACCTGCACTGAACCCTCTCAAAAGTGAATGAAATAAACAGCTGCCAAACAACGCCGAAACGAAAAACATATCAAAGCCAAAGACATCCTTTTAAAACTGCGAAACTATGGAAAGTTATCTTAGTCTAAACTAAACAATTCTAATCTCAAATGCTAAAACATGCTGCAAGCAGCTTGCTAAAAGTGCTACTGCTTGCAGCTTTCTGGATTGTCTCATCATTCGTCCAACTTCTCGATCTGCCTGACCAGTCTACTTGAGAACCTTCCCGACAAAGCTTGCACCAAAGCCACGGTGGTGGGAACACCTGCCAAACTTCTGAAGGTTCCTTTGTTCCCTCCGCCACATCCTGTTCACATCATGTTCAACTTTGGTTTCCTGGTCGCCAGGAGGCTTCGGGAAGGTGCCCAATTGTTTTTGAGTTTCGGACGGTCCCTAACTCTGATGGCCCATGTGGTTCAGTCCTTGGGACTTACCCAACAGTCTGCGGGATGAATACCAAAAGGACAGGGCGAACATCCCGTTTGATCGTTGGGCGAATTCAATCATCTGTCATCCAGCCATATCCAGCCTGTCAGCACCAAAGCGCTGGTCATCATTCGACCCATCTTTGTCTTGGGTGCCAAATCGCCGTAGCCCACTGTCGTGAGAGTCACAGAGGTGAAATAAAGGCCTGGCTGTCGTGAGACCTGTCTGGGTCTATTGTCTTCAACGACACAGACCACGCAGCCCACATGGGCCCCGACCCCTCAAAGGAGTCAAAGGATGAGACATGTCAAACAAAAATTTGCAAACCTCTCTTCGTCACTGGAGAACAACCTCTTACTTTGCGATTGCCAAAACTGGTTCCGTTCAATCTCTTCTCTGTTCAATCTGGTTCCCTTCCGGATCGCCCGATCGACCCGAAACGATCCCGTGCCAAGTCGCTGTCCACGAAACTCCAAGACTCGACGACTGCAAACCTCGACGGCCAAGGCGTCGAGCACGGCATCGAACGGCTTGGGGAGGGGGAGCAAAGTTTCGAACACGTTTGAAACCCGAGCCTCCAGCTTTGGAAAACGTTCAATCAATCTATTGGCACTTGGAGTCGAGTGAATTGAGAACCTGGACGTCCTAAAGTGTTCCCCAAATATCCCCAACCAGTTTTACTGCTGGGGTTCTCTCTTAGGAAGAACCAAGCTGGCCACAGTGTCTGGCCGCGCCGGTAAACGCTGCGTCCTGGCGTTGTCTTCCTGTTGTCCTATTTTTTTACCTGTTGTCCTCTTCTTGTCCTTCTTCTGGTGCGTAGCTTGGCCACGGCCGCCAGCCAGTCTCCAGACCTTGTCCTCCTGTTGTCCTCATTTTATTCCCTTTTCCTCCTCTTGTCTTCTTCTTGTCGCCCCGTTGTCCTCCCCTTGTCCTCTTCTTGTCCTCCTGTTGTCCTCCTCTTCGCCTGTCTTCTTCTTGACGTCTTCTTCTTGTCCTCCAGAAGTCCGGCTGTTGCCCTCTTGTTGACACCAGCTTCGCCGCGGCTGCCAGCCTGTCTCCAGACCTTGTCCTTTTGTTGTCCTCTGCTTTCTCTTTGTTCATCCTCTTGTCTTCTTCTTGCTGTCCCGTTGTCCTCCTCTGCTGGTGTCCAGCTTTGGCGGCACCGGTGAGCCCTATGTCCGCCTGTTGTCTTCTTGTTGCCCTCTTCTTGTCCACCTGTTGCCCTTAGCCCGTCTCCGGCTCCTTCTTGTCCTCCTCTCGTCCTCCTTTTTCTCAGTTCTTGACTCTTGACCTGTTCTTGTCCTCCTGTTGTCTGTTTGTTGTCCTTCTGCTGGTGGCCAGATCGCAGCACGGCCGCATGTAGACATGACACCATGACAGCGTGCACGCGCGAAGGATCACCCCAAGCGCAAAGAAAAGGTTCCAGTGCGGGAAAGCAGCTGCACACGCGCAAGCCTTGTGTGGCGCCTAGTGGGAAAGCGCCAGCCGGCAAGCCCGAAGACTGCAGTACCATGTAAACAGGAAAACGTGCGAGCGTGCACTATAAAGCAGCGAGGCGCTAGCAAGACAACTCCAGAAAGCAACCCCAGAAGCCGATGTCCTCTCCCTTGTCCTCCCTCTCCTTGTCCTCTGTCCTCTTCTTAGGGCTTGCGGGGTTCTCTGGCATAGGAAAGAAGAAGCTGGCTACAGTGTCCTCCTCCACACTACAACAACAATTCTTGCAGACACTATGCTGTTTGGGGTCTATGCTGGCTTAATTAATGAGATGTCCGGCGTCGGCAGTGAAGGGAGACACGACCCCCATGTCTTGGCACGAGGAAATCCGACTTGGTTGATGTGTGGAAAACACGAATAGAGTACATCCCAGTCAATCGCGGGGGGTCCCTTGGTGTGTTGTGGTGCTGTGGTTTAACATTTAAAAAATCACAAGCAGTCCATGGCCCATGTAAGTACTAAGTACATTGAGAGTTCTATGTGGGGAAAATTGTGCCTGGACAAACCTAGGAAACTGGTTGAACATCACACCCACTTTTGCTCCCAAATCTTGGGAGGGCCTTTCGAGTTTCTGCTATTGAATCTCCCTTGTGCAGTTCGGTAAAACCCAACGCATCCACCTTTTGACCAAAGCACGAAGCAGCGCACAGCAAGTGAAGGCCAGACAGCAAAAGGACTGCACCTCAGTTTGACGCTTCCGTTGATTGAGTTGCTAGATTGCTGCCGGCATCTGACTCACAATTGCACCAGCATACAAACAGCATCCACCACAAACTACCGCTTTGGATCAAACATACCGCCCTTACATCGCCGAAAACCTGACTCGGCTTACCACCGCACTGACGGCTGCATCACGGGATCTCGTCGCGATACATGGAAAGTCGGCCGATCGCTGGGAGGAGGGTAGCTTCGGAACCCAACAAAAACGGGGCGAGGTGGAACCCTGAAACACGCGCGTCACGCGCGGCGCGTGTTAAGGGGTCGACTTCGCAGCAGTGAAATTGAACAACACAACGTTTAGGGCCTAAGGCGGTCTCTCTTTTCGGGGTCACGGATTTGAGAGTAAGACAAGGCAACTCCTAAAAACTAAAAAAAGATCCCCCTTGGAAAAGATCTGACATCCCAGAGGTTATTGAGTTATTGTGGTCTCTCTGCAACTTACAAACTGAAAAAATAATCGAAACTCCATCGAGACTTGTTCACACATGCTGGCTGGAGAAGTGCCATGATGCGCACATTATAATCAGGCCAATGTATGAACTTTGTGCCCCTGCCAGCCCTTAAGTAGTTTCCTGGGACTCACCCCGTTGATAGCTACGTAGTATTCCGGATATGTAGATGCTAGGGAGAGACCTCATGGATATTTATCAATGTAGTACAACCGGGCATCAGACTTCCAAGCGAAGGTTGTGATTGGAGCCTGTGAGAGGGGAACTGAGAGGGTTGGAGTAGGTGATCGCTGACAAGGGTATTCCAAGCGACGTCCACCATGTCGCTTCCGCTTGGCTTGTGGGTAATCAATGAGCTGCTCCAACTGCTCCGCCTTGTGAAGCAAAGATCAAAAGAACAACATCTTAGGACATCTTCCCCCCACATGGCTGTGGGTCAAAACCGGGACACCCTGGTACCACCGAACATCAACAGAATTGACTACTTGGGAGGTCAACCTACCCCTGGTTTTTTGACCCAGCCACATAGGTCGATTCCAGTTGATCCGTTGGAGGGCAAAAAAGAAAAGAAACACTGACTCTCCGATGCTCAATTCGACGTCCACTGGGAGGCTGACTGGTCCCTAGCCTCAGCGCTGATGAAGCCGAAGAGCACCGCCAAGAGAGTGATTGAAAGCCACACGAAGAGAATGGCCAGAACCTTTTGCTCACCTCACACGAAGCGCATTGGTTTTGTTTGTTTCAATTGGGTGTGACGCCCAA